CATTGCCGCCATAGTGTCGCTATGCTGTCACCAGCATGTCGTGACGCTGCCACCATCATGTCGTGACACTGCCACCATCGTGTCGGCACGCCGTCACCAGGCTGTCGCTGCTTTTGTCCCCGCAGTGTCACCGCAGTGCCACCAGCATGTCGTGACAATTGTAACCACCTTGTCACCACACTGTCACCATGCTGTCACTGCTTTTGTCCCCGCAGTGCCACCACCATGTCGTGACATTGTCACCATCTTGATACCACGCTGTCACCATCATGTCGTGACACTGCCACCATTGTGTCGCCATGCTGTCACCAGCATGTCATGACATTGTCACCATCTTGTCACCAAGTTGTCACTGCGCTGCCAGCAGTGTCACCATCTCGTCACCTTGCTGTCACCATCATGTCGTGACACTGCCACCACCTTGTCACCAATCTGTCACCATGCTGTCGCTGCTTTTGTGCCCACAGTGTCACCGCAGTGCCACCATCTTTGTCGTGACACTGTCACCATCATGTCGTGACACTGTCACCATCGTGTCATCACGCTGTCACTATGCTGTCGCTGCTTTTGTCACCGCAGTGTCACTGCAGTGCCACCATCCTGTCGTGACACTGCCGCCATCATGTTGTGACACTGCCACCATCGTGTCGTGACATCGTCACCATCGTGTCACCACGCTGTCACTGTGCTGTCACTGCTTTTGTCACCACACTGTCACCACACTGTCACCATCATGTCGTGACACTGCCACCATCGTGTCGCCATGTTGTCGCCAGCATGTCGTGACACTGTCACCACCTTGTCACCAATCTGTCACCATGCTGTCGCTGCTTTTGTCCCCACAGTTTCACCGCAGTGCCACCATCCTGTCGTGACACTGTCACCAGCATGTCGTGACATTGCCACCGCAGTGCCGCCACCTTGTCACCATGTTGTCACCACTGGGTCGTGACATTGTCACCATAGTGCCACCACACTGTCACTGTCACATTGTCACACTGTCACCACGTCGTCACCGTCACGGTGTCACACTGTCACCAACTTGTCACCACGCCGCCACCATCATGTCACGACATTGTCCCCAACTCGCCACCCCGCTGCCGTCGTCACGTCGGCACACTGTCCCCACCTTGTCACCGTCGTGTCACCGTCGTGTCACCACACTGCCACCACCTTGTCACCATCATGTCACCATCATGTCACCATCGTGTCGCCACCTCGTCTCAAAACTGTCCCCAACTTGTCACCGTGTTGTCACGACATTGTCACCATCTTGTCTCAAAGTTGTCCCCAACTTGTCACCATGTTGTCACCATGTTGTCCCCATCTTGTGCCCAACTTGTCACCATCGTGTCCCCAGCTTGTCACCATGTTGTCACGACATTGTCCCCATGCTGTCACCATCTTGTCTCAAAGTTGTCCCCAATTTGTCACCACGTTGTCCCCAACTTGTCACCATCTTGTCTCAAAACTGTCCCCAACTTGTCACCATGTTGTCATGACATTGTCCCCAACTTGTCACCATGTTGTCCCCATCTTGTCACCATCTTGTCTCAGAACTGTCCCCAACTTGTCACCATGTTGTCACGACATTGTCCCCAACTTGTCACCATGCTGCCACCATCTTGTCTCAAAGTTGTCCCCAACTTGTCCCCATCGTGTCACCAGGTTGTCACCACTCTCTCCCCAACTTGTCACCATCTTGTCCCCATCTTGTCCCCATCTTGTCTCAGAACTGTCCCCAACTTGTCACCATGTTGTCACCACATTGTCACCATCGTGTCACCATGTTGCCACCATCTTGTCTCAAGGTTGTCCCCAAATTGTCACTACATTGTCCCCAGCTTGTCACCACTCTGTCCCCAACTTGTCCCCATCTTGTCACCGTGTTACCGCCATCTTGTCTCCAAGTTGTCCCCAATTTGTCACCATCGTGTCCCCAATTGTCACCATGTTGTCACCATGTTGCCACCATCTTGTCGCAAAACTGTCCCCAACTTGTCACCTCTTTGTCCCCAACTTGTCACCGTGTTGTCACAACATTGTCCCCATCTTGCCACCATGCTGCCCCCATCTTGTCTCAAAGTTGTCCCCAACTTGTCACCATCGTGTCACCAAGTTGTCACCACATTGCCACCGTCTTGTCACCACGTTGTCCCCAAACTGTCACCACTCTGTCCCCAACTTGTCACCACTCTGTCCCCAACTTGTCCCCATCTTGTCACCGTGTTACCGCCATCTTGTCTCCAATTTGTCCCCAGTTTGTCACCATGTTGTCCCCAACTTGTCCCCATCTTATCTCAAAGTTGTCCCCAACTTGCCACCATGTTGTCCCCATCTTGTCTCAAAACTGTCCCCAACTTGTCACCGTGTTGCCACCACATTGTCCCCATCTTGCCATCCATTTGTCCCCAACTTGTCACCACATTGTCCCCATCTTGCCACCATGCTGCCACCATCTTGTCTCAAGGTTGTCCCCAACTTGTCACCACTCTGTCCCCAACTTGTCCCCATCTTGTCACCGTGTTACCGCCATCTTGTCTCCAAGCTGTCCCCAATTTGTCACCACTTTGTCCCCAATTTGTCACCATGTTGTCACCACATTGTCACCATCTTGCCGCCATCTTGTCTCAAAGTTGCCCCCAATTTGTCACCACGTTGTCCCCAACTTGTCACCACGTTGCCGCCATCTTGTCTCAAAGTTGTCCCCAACTTGTCACCATCGTGTCACCACGTTGTCCCCAACTTGTCACCACATCATCCCATCTTGTCACCATGTTGCCGCCATCTTGTCTCAAAATTGTCCCCAACTTGTCACCATGTTGCCGCCATCTTGTCACCATCTTATCTCAAAACTGTCCCCATCTTGTCACCAAGTTGTCCCCATCTTGTCACCACGTTGCCGCCATCTTGTCTCAGAGCTGTCCCCAACTTGTCCCCACGCTCTCCTGGCGTCACCGCGTTGCCACCATCACACCTCCACGTTGTCCCCAACTTGTCACCTCCTCTTCTCACCGCATCCCGGTGTCACCGCCGTGTCCCGGAGTTGTCACCGTGTTGTCACCATCGTGTCACCGCGTTGTCAGCCAGGGGTTGGGGTGGACAGGGACATGGGGACACGGGGGAGGGGGGACGTGGGGACATCGGGGACAATGGGGACATTGGGGAGGGTTGGGGACACTGGAGATGGGTTGGGGACATTGGAGGGTTGGGGACATTGGGGACAATGGGGTGTTGGGGACACAGGAGATGGGTTGGGGACATTGGAGGGTTGGGGACATTGGGGACAATGGGGTGTTGGGGACACAGGGGAGGTTTGGGGACATTGGGGACACTGGGGACAATGGGGTGTTGGGGACATTGGGGACATGGGGAGGGTTGGGGACATTGGGGACATTGGGGACAATGGGGTGTTGGGGACATTGGGGATGGGTTGGGGACATTGGGGACAATG